TCGGGCTCGCTTTGGAGGTGAAAAAGGGCACCCTCGAAGGAAGTGAGAGTGGAGGGGGATAAAAAAAGGGCACCCCTAAGCAACTCAAAACCTTCCGCATCCAACGCTTGCCCGCAGCAATCTGTTCTCTCTCCTGCCCTCAACTCAAAACCTTCCTGCCTCACCCACGTGAACTCCCACCGCATAAGGAGTGCCCTCTTCAGTGTGGCAACTAAAAATGAGCGCCCCCCAAGCAACGCAAGCTTGCCCGCAACTGCAATCTGGTCTCTTTCCTGCTCTCAAGTATAGGGTGAGTTCTAACCACTTTTCACGTCCCCTTGTCTTCCCTCTCCTCTCATCGACGCGAACTCCCACCCCTACTAATTACAATTTATACATTGCCTCCTGAGCCCCTCATGATGCTGATGATGCACTCTTCGCCGTCAACTTTTCGCTCTCCACCAGGCTCTGGGTCAGCCTCTCCAAGATTGCCCCTCTCGCAACCACCCCACCCACACAACTCACTTCGTTCGCATAGCTACCTCAAGCCTTGCCTATCGGCTGGCTTTCGTGATTGTGTATATGTATGTAATTTTTTTAAACCCTAGCCCCACGCCCAAATGTCATTTTTGGAGATCTGTCAGGGTGATCCAGTTGAGAGGATGAGCATTGTTGCCGTACCTAAAAAGCAGTCCGGCAGGAGGCTGAGATTTGGAGGGCCAGATTCTTCTGAAATGTCTTTGACGTTTCGTCTGAATATTGTCTCCATCTGCTGTAGCCACAAGTCTTCCATGTAAGGCCTCTCAAAAATTCCATTGGGGGATGTGGTGTGACTTGCGAGACTAGCATTAGACATGAAGTTTTGTGCTAAGGTCTGTGCAAGACCAAACGCGATAGCATACAGTGCGGGCGGAGATTTGCCTCCCAAGCAGGAGAAGCTTGAAAACATGCATAGGAGTATATGGTTGTGTATTAAAATAGGATAAACTAGGAAGGCCTCCCAAAGATCCCCCAAAGAAGGAAAGTAGACCAAAACCTATTGGTTCTTCACACTCCCTTAAATGCTATTTCTATCTTCCACACCTGCACCGGCAAACTGCACTGGTTGTCGACGACCTCCCCAAGACCAACCTCATTGCGATCTGCTTGAAAGGGGCTTACTTCTTACAATGACCTTCAGGCAAGTCAAAGAATTTCTGCTACTCCCTCTCTTGTCAAGTCTGCTTGTAAAAACGATGTCAAACGACTGGTTTGTGACTGGTGTGAGGTTCCGACCCCAGATTTCAAACCTTGCCGCATCACGATGAGGCCAAACCCCATGAAACATTGCCACTTAAACACTGCCACTGGGGTGCAGCATTAAGCACTCTGCCAACGCCGTTGCTCTTCAGCAACTTCCCGCTCATCAAACACCTTTGCCAGAACAAGGTGAGTTGTTTAGCTTGTGACCAGAAAGTCAGCAACCGGATCTTGCCATCTAGTTCCATCAGTTCCGTCCAAAGCAGCTGACTGTTGTGTGTTGAAAAGTCGACTTTGGTGGCGGTGGCGGTCGTTCTTCTAGAGGCAAGGCCTTCGTTTGAGCACTCAGTTTCAGCAAGGCTCGTCTCACACCAAAAAGAAAGCCTGAAGAAAGCTGGAGTAGTCTGGCCATGTTCCAGGCAGCCTCCCAGTCGTCGCTCTTACGCTCAGTTTACTGAAATCGGCCACAAATAGAACTTCTCCGCTCTTGAACGCCTTTTTCTTAGCCTTCTTTATTAAGTAGGCGCCTACTTAATTAAGGGAGAAGTTCGCTCCTAGCTAGGACAGGATAGCTCACGCTCGCGCTAATGATTCGGTTCCTCCTTTTTCTTCAACAAGGATGCTCACAATACCTGGTGGCTCTCAGCCACACCAGGAAGTTGTGCACAGGCTGACGCAGCTTAGCTCCCGTGTGCACTCCTCCATTTTGGTGAGCTATGCCAGCTATGCCGGGCTGCCAGGCTAATTAAAAGCTTTGTGTGTTTGTTGCCAAGCTCCAAAGCTTTCACTCAAAGCGCTTGCGTTTCAGTCCGCGCAAAGCTTCTCGCTGTGCTTCCACCACTGAGTGGGCAGCATTGTCGCAAAGACCTATCCAAGGCCAGGCATTCTCAAAAAATAAAATGATGCATCAAGAAGCTTAAAGGGCAAAACAAGCAACATTGGAAACGTGTTCGTATGTTTTTTAATTGTAATATGTGTTCCTAAAAGTGAAGTGAAACCACCCAGAACCAAAAAAAGGGGCGGTCTCCTGCATTGAATAGGGTGACTTTGAGCATCACCTCTGGCCAATCGGTCGTCAACTTCAGAAACCTCTGCTGTCAAAAAGCGGTCAAGATGTCTCTTCTGAGCACCAAATTGGACCAAGCTAGTCACACGTTTCGATCATGTTGACCATCCAAGCAGCCCCGGCGTGTTGGCGACAGCTTCCACGTTTTCTTTGATGAATGCAAGACAAGCTCGCTGCAATTGCTTGGCGTCAAAGAGGTGCGCCTCAGTTCGCTGTTTCGGGCATGATTCCGACCATGAGCAGAATCCATCCCTACTCAGTCCACACATCATGTCAACTGACGGGTTTAGAGATGTCTTGGGATGCTTATGGATGCTTTCTTTTGGCTCAGCCAATTCACAACCCAAAAAATCCCTCAGCACTTGGCACCTCGCACCACTTAGGCCAATTCCTCGCCTGGCACAGCACACCCGAGACCTCACTGACCGTCATGCGATTGCAAAGCCGCGCTTCACACCAGAGCTGCAAGCGGTTCACCTGACATCCACCGGTCGCGCCAGCGGTCGGTCTGAGCAGCGGTCGCGCCAGCGGTCGGTCTGACGCGGAATGTCCGACTCTCTGACGTTCTTTTCTGTACGGGCAACGCAAAGGGAGTGGGATGCCCAACTGTAAATCAGCCGAAACCAAACGGACAGGAAAACCCCTTCAGGATCCTTCAGGGTATCACAGCCATTCTCATCTTGCACTGAAGCAAGAGAAACTGTGCAAAATGACTTGTGTGCTTGTGCTGGGCTCCTTTTGACAAGACCATGCAAACTGTTTGTTCTCAAGTTCATCGGCCAATTCAATTCTTGCAATTGAAATCGCTTATGTGTGCTTATGTATATTAAATAGGTCCTTTTGGCTGCATACATGGATATAATGTAAAAGGGGGGGTGGGTCGGCTGTGTGACTCGTGCCTGGTATCGGTGGCTAATCTGCAGCAGCTGATGCAGCAGCTGGATCCTAAGCCGGATCCATTCGGCGCCATCCCAACAGCTGCGTACACACAGCTGCGAAAACTTCCGACTCGGAACAAGGCCGAAAGACTTGCGCACCAAGGAGCTCTGCACTGACCTTGGCCAGGTTGCAATTCCTGCTGTCCACCGCCTTCTGATTTCTGCAAACATGCTCCACCAGCTCTTGAATGTGATCGAAATCATCCTGAAACAGGGCCATTGTCACTCAGTGCACTATCAGGATGCTCCTCTGTCAAGACTACATCGTGAGTCATTCTTTAGCTTGCAATTCTGCATTCTGCCACCCTACCATCAACACCCACCACTAAGCCACAGACAAATATATAAAATGTCAAAACATGTTCTCATACATCATAAATATCTAGGAATATGCATTAGACAAATCCTAATTTTGAAGTGCTGTGAAGGTTTTCCACACTTCCATGTGTGCTACAGTGGAGAAAGCACCCCCAGTCTCAGCTGGAGGGTGCTAAGCGACAGTGGTGTAGGGAGGGTCCTTCCAAGCAACAATGGCATTCATGGTTTCTCCAGTTGCGACGTCTCGGGTTTCTATCGCGGCCTGTGTCTCGTCCACTCAAAAGCTTTCCCTGCTCTGCGAACTCTTCTTCCCAATTTATATACACCAAGTTTCAGTGTACAAGAACTGCAGCATGGCCTTGAAAATGTCAACTTCGCAGTCTTCCACGACGATCTCTTTCGAGATCGATTCGCGCATCGCGCCAAAAAGCTCACTGGCAAAAAACTCGGAGCGTGCAAGCAGGATCTGGGAATGCGCGCGGATCTCTTCGCCCTTGACCATAAATGTCACGTCTGCACCTTTGCCGCTATCCTTAGACTTTAGGCAAGCTGCTAACTCTACTGTGCACGAGAATGTTCAAAAGTGTGATTCTCGTTTGCCATTGTCAACACCCAAAGGTTGGCTGTTTTTTATGAACAATGCACAGAAAACACCGACAGATTGCTTCTTTGCTCAAGGCTCAAAGAGAGCTCGGAAGTGCGAGCAAATGGACGATGAAGGGACGTCCACTCGCGACGTTTTCACGATCTTTGTTGAAAAGCCATCTTCCGGTGGAAGCACTTCCACTTTGATTTTCACGCTGAGAGCATCTCCCGTGACCCACTCGGATCGCAACAGCTGCCTTAGAGGACATGGACAACAGGGGACAGCAGGTCCTGAGGTGTTTTTGGGACACGTGCTCGTTCGTGCTCCACATGAACAACCATAACGGATACAATGGATACTCGACATGTGGGATGAGTGGATACAACTTCATCCCCACACACATCGAAGCACCGGCTGTTCAGGGACAGAAGCTGAGGACCAAAAAGAGCCCAACAAAGGAGCCGTTTGGTTGGGCCCAGCTGCTCATGAGTCAGGCCGAAGATCCCAACAGGCTTGGCAGGGCCATGTCCTGCGCGAAGTGAAAGACGGCGACTCGGCGACTCGGTGCATTGCTGAGTCGGCTGACCAGGCTGACCGGATCACAGACCTGAGACGATCAGAGCATGGTCCGCGGAGGATTTCGCGACCTCCAACCAGTGAACGACAGCTGAGCATGGACTGGGGAGGAAAGCCGGAAGTTTGCTGATTGGTGTTTGATGATGTTTATCTGTTTGTCTGGCAAGTACGGATTTGATTTGGGTTCCCTATCACAGCGGCTAAACAACTGACCAACCAGACTTCAACTGAATGTTCTTCTCTGACTTGGATCCCCAGGTCTGTATGTTTTCCCGTTCACTTCATCCTTTTGACAAGGTGGCCAGGCCACGAAATGCTTCTGCACAGAACTTGCGGTAGCACGGGTGATTGTATCTCACCAAAACAGACCTACAAACTTATGCCTGAGTGCCTCGAATCCTTCAATTTGACGTCCCAAAATCTAGCAGGCAAAAACAAACGAGACAAGTTCTATGAACACAAAGAACACCCCCTGGCCGCCCTGGCTCTACTCACCCTACTCCCTAAGGTGAAGGTGTTGTGGATAACCTGACCGTCTTCCTCAGCCTCCTTCGCAGCTCTCCTTCGTGCACATCTGGCCCAAAGGCTCGGCCCAATGTGTCGCTCAATGGATGGCTCTCTTCCTCCAGTGTGGTCGCTGGAGCTCGTCAAGCACCCCATGGACGGCGATCAGTACCCATCGGGAACTCCCCGGGAAGAGGCACGGGGCACGAACACACAAAAGTGAAGAACACGTGGGGAGGTTGGAGAGAGTGACTGTCCACTTCGAGTTGGTACATAAGTCCAAGTGGTGGTGGGACACAGCAACAAAATCACGCCCTCTCGAGCTTCTACACTTAATGTTCGTCCGAAGACCTGCGCTTTCGTCAACTGAGGCCAGGCACCGAAGTGGGCCCCCACTGAACATACTCTCCATCGCTGCGCTTGATGAAGAACTGATGCCGAAAGGTGATGCCCCCGCTCTCGTTGTGGATGATGGCCAGTGACCCACGTTGGTTGTCGTCACCGATTTCGCCACTGCGCGGATGATAGACCTGAGGCGGGTTGATTTGGCGCCACCGATCAAACACAGCATCATGAGCTAGCGATGGGACAGCATACGCAGTCTTATGGACTTAGCTCTTTCGATGGGCTGGATGGAATGAAACGTTCAAAGAGTTTCTGCATATTTTAACGTCAACTCGCTTTCCTCTGCCAAGACTAGTTACAGTTATGAATGTTGCGACTCGGACTGGTATCTACTGGTCTTGGTGCCACCGAATCATCGCAAACACGAGTCCCAGAAAAGAAAGGATTAAAATTTGCATTCTGATGTCTGTAGCAATGCACTAATCAGCTTATGTGAGCAAATTTGGCATTTGCACCCACGGCACCGAAGGGCAACTGGCATGTGGTTTGCTGCTTTTGTGCCGCTCGATGTTTTGACCAATGCTGACACCAACAGATCCACCAGCAACGCTAAGCGTTCTTGAATTGATGCTCCTGAATCCTGAAGGTAAAGAAAGTAGGGTAAGAAGGAGATGGACTCAGATGGACCTGTCCATCCTTCGATTTCAGAATTTGTTGTGTGCTGGTGTCAAAATCCCTCTTTGACAAAGCATGGACTCGGAATTGCATGTGCAGCATGAACTATACTTTTTCAGCATAGTCAGATTCAGTGTCACGTCTCTGCCAAAAAGAACTGGTCGAACGACCTAGTCAGGTTCAAAGGTTAAAACTCTAGATTACAAAATCTCATTCTGGGATGCTGGCTTGGCAAGGCGTCATGACAACATTACTGGACAACAAAAGGTCCTTACTTAAAAGGATCTGATCTCAGCTAAGACAGATGTGGGGCTTCGTGCATTCATGGCACACATTCAAAGCTTGTGTCTCCCACTAGAAACGGCTGCTCTGCAGCAGCTACAGATTGTGCCCTCTTCTTGAGTGCCACAACCAGCCAAGACATGCCTTCAATGCGCCATACATACCTGATCATGAGCAAGCAACTCTGCACTTTCCGTGACTTGTTCCATATCAAGAAGCAAGAATCCATCGTTTTAGTACACACTAGAATCACTAGAATTGGTTTCGGCAGTTCCAAGAGTTTGGTGTGGCCCAAAAGTTGCCAGTCGAGACCCTTCTCTCTCACCTCGTGTTTGAAGTCAAGACACTCGTGTCTGTCAATGACTTTGCTGTAGGTGGTGACTTCCCCTGCTGGTCGCCCAGCACAGCTCACGGGGTCTTGTGCTGGTCGTGGCTTTCCAGGCATGAAGGTGCCATCACCTCAGCCCGCCGTGACTCGTGAGGGCGAGAGCCGGTCCCTGCGGTCGACTCGGTCCACTCTTAAAAGCCTGTGGAGCTGGGAGGTCATGTTTTCATGGTCTTAATACAATATGCTGCTGCTTTTAATGTAGAATCTTGATGAACAACCACCCCCCCAATTTGGATGCACGCACTCGCGGTCCTTCGCACCCACAAACTGCCCCTTGTTCACAGGTGGAACGGGTACAGGTGGGTAGTAGTCCATATGCGAGACGTGTGAAAAGCTCCTAGCCAAAAGGAAACGACATGGTAATATGTACAAACGAACGAACACAGCATTGCATGGGCGGAGTCGGGTAACCTACGTATCACAAAGGCATTCAAGCACCTAATTTACTCCTGGGTGGTGAATTAAATCGAAAGCCTTTTTTCTGGCCATATGGTTCCTTACTGAGCGTGCAAAGGCTTCGCGCTTATGTAGCACGATTTCTGGCCATGCGGGCCAAGCAGGAATGTCATGGCCAGTGGGGATGACCGGGATTTCGAGATCTGTGCAATATGGCGGATTATGGGGGAGCGTGAGCATAATTTTCTCTAACCAATTGTTTACGGCAATTGCGTGCGGGATACTAGGTCTACGAGAGATACCGCTACGATGATCCATGGCAAAACCCAGCCGTGTGAGGCTAGTTGCCCCTTGCTGTTTGTATACCGGCATAATTTTTGTGGCTGAGAATGTTTGGATATGCTTAACCATGTATCGAAAAGATTCCGACACAACTCGCAATGAACGGCTCTTAAGTGGAAGTATTTTAACTTTGTCATCTTGAAGCGAGTAGGCATTCCAAACTTTACCTTCTCTAATCTTAATGGGTAAGTGCTGTCCGGACCAAAACATGAAAGCAAGTGTAAGCTCAGTCCACGTAATGCCTGGGTCATCTGCCAAGCGGGGCGCGTCTGGGCATGGCCATTGAATCTGCATACAAAAGAGCCACACCAAGCGTGTAATATTCGTGCCCCATGTGCTGGACCAAAATACGACACGATGTGGTTCAGGTGGGTATGTGAACAGTGAACCCTGGTGGTGCCAGTTTGCAAGACGGTCAATATGGTTCCTAAATGGATTTTCAAGGTTGGAATTCGAAGCACGTGCTTCTCGAGATGTCTGACCTTTCTTCTCATCGATCAGGCTCATTCGAACACATGCCAGGGCATGCAAGTATTCTAGAATCTGCATGGTTACTTTGTGCTGTTCACGGTAGTGGGTTTGGACTTCCTGGCACAACTGATCGAACTCTGGTAAATCGGTTTTACGGCATTGGACGGCTGCCTTATCCGCGCATTCATTTCCCTTAATGTGCCAAAGGTCCTCTTGCGATCTGGCATCTTCATATTTACGGTGGGACGCAATTTTAATAACAGACATTTGTTGAGGATCCCACAAATGCATCAACTGTCTGATAAGATCCCAATGTGCGCGTTTATGTGGGTGAACGTGTATCGTGCGAGATTCAATTGCTTGAACAATGCCCATGACGAATTGGGAATCTGTACAAATCTGAGCTGGTGTCTGGCCTATTGTAAACCGTATCTGTTCTGTGGCTATCAGGAACGCAAACAATTCTGCTCTATTGATTGTTTGGTGGCCCGGGCAATGGCCATTGGCAGTTACTGTAAGCGTATAGGTGGTTGGGTCTTCGGGCTTTGGTTGGCGAATAACCACTGCCCACGCGGCTCTGGCTGCGTATGGGTCTGTTGGCGCGTCACATGAGCCGTCGGTGTAAAACACTGTGCCTGCTTGGATAGAGTCAAGTGCGTGGTTGTATGCTGTGTGAATACGAAGATGCATGGCTTGCTTTAAAAGCGCTATGTTCGGAGAGTGTACTGGTAGGGGGAACCAGCACGTGCGTGGATTATTTTGCATATAGGTTACTGCATCTGTGTGTTGTTCCCGGACATTTTTAAAGGCTTGGCAATGGAGTAGTTGGTGGGTATGTGTATCTGTGTGTTCACACCAATCGCATTTTTCTGATTGCGTCGCACTCCAAAGGGCTAAGCCACTATTTGATTGCCAACCCGCCGACATGGTTAATGCTAGGATCCTTCTTTGCCTATCAGTCATTTTTTGTGTAACTTTATGCAATGTACCCGAGTCAAAAGGTTCATCTGCTGTCCCTTCCCCAATTTGGATTTTCAAACCTCTTCATATTGTGTCAATCTTTTTCATCACAGAGTCTACAAGATATTATGTAAAAATGTGAAAAGCTTTGGATGTCAGGGACTTTAGACTGCAAGGGGAAAGAGTGGAGATGTCAAACATTGTAAGACTCCTCAGACCCTCGGTGTGGGTGCCCAGTGGCTGTCTGAGTCAATTCTTTCCCGATATGCGCGGGAGCTTGCAATGGAGCACTGGTTCGAATGGATGGCTTCCCGAATCACATCCAGCTGTCTTCTCATCTGCTGGCGATGAAGAGCCTGCACTCGCAGGGCCAAGGCCAAGAGCTATATGAATGTGTCAATTAACCAAGCCCGCAAAAAACAAGGAACGGCACCTGGACCGTCTCATGTTCAACCTGTTCCTTCATTCTGCGGCTTTCAGCAAGTTCATCTTTGGCTGAATTGATCAGTGATTGGATCTCATCTAAGGACGACATGGCCCCAACGAGTGCTCTTTGCAACTCGAACAGCCACAGCCTTTTCAAGAGCCAAAGCCTGAAAAGAGGCGCCTGAACCCTCACAGGAAGTCCAAAGTCAAATGGTTCAAATCACTCATGTAGAATCTTGATGTCAACAAAACAATGGATTGTAAAACCTCCTTCATATGGGGAGCACAGCAGGACTTTGTTGAGACTTCTGCTATCTTAGTCTTCCATACAGCTGACCTTTCTTCGATACAGCTGACATAGCGCGGCAAAGCGGGGAAGTCTGCCAACCTCGGTCACATGGCGTCACCGTCCGCAAAACCGTCGCCACTTAGTGTCGCCACGATCAGGTCAGTCGGGGAGTCCAAAAAAGGTCTCTGGGTTTCAGACACTTTTTCCAAACCTGGACAGAAAGACGTTGGAAAAGACGGTGGACAAAAAGACATGCTCCAAAAAGACATGGGTCTTGACTTCGAAAATACGAAAAAGTCTACGGCACGGGCCAGAGCCATGGCAAGGGATACTGAGGAGCACCGCAAGCTGCCTTGAAATTGGTGCAGAGTCTATGGTGAGATCTGCTTGTTCTTGCGATTTGGAAATCCCGTGGTTTGGCTACAGCACTTTTTGGCACATGTCTTCGGTTTCGAAGAACCGCTCACAACGAGTACTTGACATTCGCAGTTTTCTGCAGCTTCAAAGTCATGGTGGCTTCTCAGAATCTGCTGCAAGCGCACTGCAGGCGCAAAAAAAACAACACGTGAAAACGCCGTCAAGCCTGCAAGTTTTTTGCGGGACGGAAGAACAAGCACCCTGGGCCACAGAAAAAGCATCGCAAAAGGTTGTTGAAGTTCCAACCCTTTATCATGAGCGATGGAAAACTTGAGAGTTCAATATCCGCTTCTGCATCAATCTCTGAGTCACTGCGAGCAAACCGCCATTCTCGGTCAGTCCACTGTGGCGGAGCAGAGCCACGCAGTCTTGCAGCATTCACGACTTGGACTCTGCGATGATAGCGATTGTAGAAGTCAAAGTCCGGCTCATGTAGGAAGCCACCAAACTCCTCCCAGCTCATGGCCCGACCATCAAACGCTGGCAACACTTGCCGTCGTACTTCGCCGTTTCGCCATTTCTCCTCCTGGAAGGGAGCCAGGCGACGGTTCTGCGCGGCGGCGATGCGGCGAGAGAGGAAAAACAGCAAGCAGCCATGGGCGGAGACACCAATGACTGAACCAGGCATTCTGGAGAGCTCCTTCCAAACATATTCGGCTCGTTGAATCAAGGATTGCGCAGAATCTAACTGGTTCTGAGATTCGCAAACAAAGCCTCCATGACAACTCCATAATGGCCAGTCTGCTTGAACTTGCTCTTGTGATCGGATCTCATTCCATATGTCATCACATTGAATCTCAGCCATCTTGGGCAAAGCTATCAAAGGAGAGTCGTCCTTCTTCAGGGGTGTCATGCATAGCTCAGCACTTTGCAATGCCCGTCGAAGGGTCGAACTCACCACAACGTCAAAAGCAGAGTCCCCGGACGCCAGCAGCATCTTAGTTGAATCCAAAAGCGGTGAAGGAAAGGAGTTGAATGAGCTACGGCCGAAATTCGATAGACAATCTTGGACAGTTCTAACCCCCATGGAATCATCCATGTTGAGGGTTTGGGTCGTAGATGAAACGGGATGAAACGGGTATGTATTGGGATAAGGAGCCCCATCCATGGACATTCATCAATTTTTCCAACTATGGTCGTCTCGCGACCTTTACGATACAAAACAACATGGCCCAGGAACAACTTCCAGAACGAACTTCAAAGGGCCTTCGAAACAAGATTCCATATGAACCAATTATGTATTGTAAGCATTGCCCTTCCATATGAAGAGGTCTACAATTCAAATGATTGTTTTTGTTGTTTATCCAGAATCAAGAGTCTACATGATTTTCTGCAAGCGTTCTTACAAACACTAACAATCACGAAATACACCTTCGATAAGGTTCTCCTGAAACACAAGAAGCTTGACAAGCGGACTGTCCGCTTTCCAGCAAGGCTCCTCTTGTACCTTTCCTCTGGCCGCTTGCACTTGGGCCATTCCAGTCTCGGTCAGAGGTGGATCCACCAGATTTTCATCTCGACGCCGTTCGTAGCTGTTAGGTCCTGTGTCCACCAAATTATGCCTCGCTTCCCCATGCCTCATGAGATAAACGACCTTGGGCATCGAAGCCATGCGTTTTCCGCACGGCACAGGGCTCGGGGACGAAAATAAAAATTGCAAAGTGACAGCAAATGTGCTGCAAACCACCTTGTCCTTGAGCCGAAGTCAGCATCACTGGTTCCTATCGGATCTTTCTTGATGCTCAACTTATTCAACCAATTTCAACCATAGATTGCATTGACAATGTGAAGATTCAAAAACACTCGGGCCGCCACGCATATGCTCTTGCATCAGCACTACTAAGCTCAGGCCTCGGACCACCAAATTCGCAGGACAGGCTGAGACAGAAACGGCCTCTCGCGACACCCGAGACTTCCCGCTCCAGGCTGCCGTCGCCCAGTCGATCGGACAAGGCCTGACACATGCACCAACCACCCCGACCCGACCGTCTTAAGCCTTAAGCCCAGTGAAGGGTACAAACCATTTTCTGGCAAATTGGACGCACATGCGGCATGATGTGACCTCGGTTCACAGGTGAATTTCTGTGAGTTCACACGCCTTGCTACCTCTCTACCCTGCTCTGTCCTGTTGCCTCATTGGGCTTAGCACGTTTGGTCTCCCATGTCTCCATATCTCATGTCTTTATATACGTACCGGGTCAGCATGTGTCCCTCCTAAGACCTCTTTGTTCCATTTTGCTTGTGCCATCTTGTGTCTGTTCTTTTTCATCCCTATCGTCGTCAGTTTGTCTTTGGAAGTTTCCTGGCATATCCCCAAAAGCATCCACTAACGTCATGCCTGCGGCAAGTCCCAGCCACTCTTCTGTACTCATCAAAACAAAAAGAAGAATTTGTCTGCAGAAGGAGGCCGAGCAGTTTTATTTTGCTGGAATCCAACCCTGCTTGATGCACCAAACGAACACAATAAAAACCACTCCGCAAAATGTCCACCACCCTCCAAATGAATTGGAGATTTTCTTCCCAATCATGCATGGATTTTTCAAGTCGTCGCTTGAAGACGCCCCCCTTGCATGGCGCAGACGCGCCTCTAGGATGCTCCGCAGCTCACAAAGGACAGAGGCGCCGCTCCAGGGCTCGTGAAAGAACTCACAAAAGAAAGCACGTGACATGACTCGCTTTTTGGACCCTTTTCTTTCGCCCGCACAAAAGTCGAAAAAAAAACAAAAAAAAAACAGGGTACTTAGCTGACACTTATGCAAATGATGCAAATACTTCTTGTTGACGTTTGCTCAGTTTGGCTCATTTGATGCTCTTTGTCTCTGGTTTCGACTCCCACCTGCTCTTCTTGAAGCTGCTTCGCCTGCCGTCGCTGCTCCGCAAAGGCCGTCGCCCAACCGAAGCCCGGAGGAGCTGATCGAAGCAGCGTGGGACGAGTGTAGGTCTCCCAAACCTGAAGCGGTCTTTGGGTTGAAGAAAGAGAAAAGAAAACCTCCAAAAGTGGTCCTTACAGAGGAGCCAATGTCTTGCTGGGAGTCAAACTCTTCTGTCCTCATAGAGGAGGAAAGAGGTCAGGAGTTCCAGTCGGTCTGTCACAAGATTGGTGACAACAGCAACAGCAACAAGCAAAGAATGAAAGAGATTTTGGTATTATGACAGGGAGATGCCCAAAGATACCCTGGAAAAAAAATATGAAAATCAATCAAAAACATACTTACCAACTCGTACCAAAAATTACCAAAACCTCGGTGGCGTGCGGTCTGTCTATTCCACATCCACACCCAGCTGGCTTGATGATGGCCTAGAAGAGCACCAAAAGCACCAGTGGGCGCTCCGTACCCCGCCGGATCAAGAGCTGCCTTGACAGCATTCAGCGGCTTGCCATGTTTCATCAAAGGGGGCTTCACATAGGGCCGACACCAGCGCTGACCGCAGCTCCTGAGGAAGACAAGGGAGCAAATGGGTGTGTCGTTCAAATAGGGAGACCTCCCAGTTTGACCCGCCTGGAAGAAGGGAAATAGAAAATTTGTTTTGGGTTCGGTTAGGAGATCTCAGAGATCTCCCTATTGGAACGATCCGCATGAAAGCGGTCGCGGTCGGGGCAACGTGTCTGCCGAGAAAGACCCGGTCCTCCCGACGCAGGACGCCGTCCTTGGTGAAGGCCACCGGCAAAGGCCTGGCGTCCGTGGTTTCGGTATCTTCTCAAGAGAATCACTCTGACTTCAAAAACATGCAATGTACAAGAGATTCTCAGCTTGATCTGACAAGACGAAAGATCATTCTCAAGAGAATCTTTCAGCAGTATTAGCGGCGCAGCTTCCAAAAAGGCAGCAAAAGGCCGACACCAAACTAGCGGCACAGGACCCCAAAGCAGCCATTGTCGGATAGCGAGACTCCTCCTGACAAATGAAATTGCGTGCTTTTCACATCGTGTGATGCTTCAAGTTCCCGACAAATCGCAGTGGAAGATGAGGCCGCCATTTGGAGAGAAACAGCAACTCGGCATGAACCTAAGTACACCAATTGCAGATGTTCAGATATGATCCACTGTCCAAGTCATTGGTTTACTTCCCCAAGTCTTTTCATCACCGTTCACCTTGTGCATTTGGTTTTCTCACAGCATGTCACTGTGCAGGTATCACACTTCTAGTCACCTGTCTGCACCAACCACTTACACCCAAATCAACAAGACCTGCAGTGGAAAATCGCGACTAGGAATGAAGGGCATCGCGACTCGAACGGAGCGATCTGGCCTTACTACGCACGGGGCGACCCTGGCCTTACTACGAACGTAACAAGCTTCGCTACGAACGGAACAAAGGGATGTCCGGTAGTCTGGCAGCAGGTCTTTTGCATCAAGCCGCGAGGCCGCCTCCATTCCAACCAACCAGGCCTCTAAGTGGAGGGCCGGATCAAGCAACGTTTCGCCCGGCGATCCTCTCGCACAGAAATGGACCTCAAGCAAAAAGAACTACAGGGATCCAGTGCTGGCCCACTTAGCCTGGGAAATCAGCTAGGGCACATGCTATCCTCCATACATCATGGTCTGCCAAAGGTGAAGCAAAACGGGGATTTTAATCGGATAAAGACTGAAACCAGAACCAACTCAGACTGACATTAACAGCTCTATTATATATCATCCATTCATGTGGATGTGATGTTAACTGAATCCAAAGCAATCCATGACTATTAAAAGTCTGTTTGAGATCAAAGAGCTCTACAAGTCTCTTCATGTGGCCTGCATGCGGCGCAACTGCTCCATTCATCGCGGATGCGAGGACTGGGACGCCGGTGACGTGGATCGCATTCGTGACTGGACTGGTTTAATCACGGAGGACTGGGAAAACACGCGTTGCTCGTCTGAAAACTGTGGCAATTTCACCCCCCCATGGCGGACCCCCCAATCGTCTTCTTCTTCTTCTTCAGCTCTCTTGACCGGATGTTCTCGGTTAATCTGCAAGATGTAGCAAGAGATGCCTTCTGCACTAAACATATGTTGAAGCACTGAAAAGCCAAAAAGCTGGGATGCAGAAGTGACTGTGCTCTATCTATATATATATATATATTTTGTTTGGCCAAAGCTGGACAACAATTCCAAGAGCATGACCCATTCCAAAATAGGCCTTTTTCATCCGTGCGATCCCACGACCCCACCAGCAGCCATTGCGCAACCCCAGAGCTCCGACGGATTGGCCTTCGCACAACAACGCACAAAACGAGTCAACGTGTCAACGTGCGGACTAAACGGTGCTCGGCAGAGCTCTCATGTGCAACTGAGACAAGTGACCCCTGTGGTACGATGCTGAAGCTCTCTTCTTGTACTTCAGCATGAAGTGCCTCAACTTTCGCACAAAAGTCAAGACACTGCAAAGCAGATATGGTTCATCGTTCGCCTCAGGTTGAGGTCAAGACATTCAGTGTTGACTGAAGCAGGGCATCCTGCGTGGCAGTGCCTTCTAAAACAAGCCTTTTTCTCTACGCGGCACAAAGCGGCCTCTCCAAGTTCACTGAAGAGGACATTCCATACCACAACCTACCGGAAACAGCTCCAGAGCGACGAGAAAGTGAGAAACAAAGTACATCTACACTCCGTAGAACAACCGTGGAAGTGGACAGCCCGGCCCATTAGATGGCCATCATTTTTCCTCTACAAACAGGTGGTTTTCCACTTCCATGATTATTTCAAGATGTGTAAGTATTGCCAAGCACGGCACCCCGTTTGGTCGCACAGCTGCAGCAGCAGAGGTGACGAAGCTGCTCTGCCTGTCGTCTAGGCTAGGTTTCTGACTGTATCAAATGCTGTCAAATGCCAAATTCAAAATGTTGCAAAAAGGTGGAATGAGTGGGTCATGAGTGGAATGAAAATGGAAATCCACGAGCAATTCCAAAGTTGTCCTCCATCAACAAGGGTTTTGTTTGGAGTCCCTTCATACTTGATTGATTCGATCCACGAGGGGCTTTTGTGTCTCTAAAACTAAGGACATGGCAAAAACTCTTTGCTGGGCGCCAAGACTTCTCCACCTCAGAGTGCCCACACTCAGACTTTGAAGATGCACCGTGGATGGCTGACGAAGAGGACTCTTGGGATGTGGCTGGAGAAGCGATGAAATTCCCCGGCGATGTCCACGAAGATTGCAAGGATATCCTAGGCAACAATGCAACTTTGAATAAACATCCTATTCATAATACAACTAAGTAAGAACGTTCAATCAACATAACGTACGTATGTTTTTGCATTTCATACAGTATATACAGCAACAAGTTCCACCAAGCACGCAGGCGGCAAACCACCGCAAACATGATGTATATAAAATATATAAAAATATATAGTAGTACATGCACAGAAAAGAACTCACTATATTGAACCTGAACTGCCAAATCCCTTGGGCACCCTTGCCAGTGGCTGCGGAGCATCAAAAAAGTTCAGAGCATCCTGAGATGGAGAAAGTGCGCTGGGTCAAGCAATCAAGCAACTATATATATATATAAATGCGGCTCATTGCTTATGTTCGCTTTCAAAGTCCTCGATGCGCAACTCGATTTCTACTTGAGCTCCACCTTCTCGGAAACCTTGCAAGAATCTCATCTCCAACACGCCAAGAGCAA